GCGGGGCGGGGACGGGCCTGCGGCTCCCCCGGCACGGGTCTGGGCTGAGGCGGGCGGCTGCTGGCTTTTCCCACCCAGTGGCCCAGAGGATCCTGAAGGCAAAGAACCACGTTTTGTCGATCGGAGGGAAGAAATACCCGCTGGAAGTGACGGCGCACGGCGCGGAGCTGAGCCCCGATGAGGTAGCGAGGAGCAGACAGCTCCTGCCCGGGCGGCCGTGACAGCCTCGGCCGGCTCCCGGACCGGCTCTGTGCCTGGCAGACGCGCTCGGGAAGGGAGACCTCGCTCTCTCCTTTGATCTTAATTAGACTTAAAGCAAATCCATTTTTATTCATATTCCAATGAGGAGTTGTTTTCTTCTGCGGTAATAACACAGGGACAGCCCGGCAGGCTGTGCGCTCGGTTGTTTGGCATTTGTGCCTGTCAAAGCAAGGAAGAATAGTCAGACTGGAGGGAAGGGGCACATTTCCCCAGCCCATCTGGTGACACATGGGGGATCCTGTTAATGCCTCTGCCGTGTCATTAGCTGGACACGCACGGTATATTTCTCCTCTCTCCTTCTCAGGAGAGCTTAGGAGACAGACATGCTGGTGTCTAGGAGGCACTGGAGAGTTCTTGCCTCTTCCTCCAGTTTCAAGAGAGAGTATGGCGGTAGCCACATCTCATGTTTTCATGTCTGAGCACTGAAAACAAAGGCGTGGGAGTTAGCCTGGCATTGCAGACCTTTCTGTAAGCCTGTGGTGCCAGACTGCTTGAAGGTCTGCAGCTGAAGCTCTGGGAGAGCAAGAGGGCAACAGCATTTCAGATGCAGAAGGGGTGGTGGATTTCTTGGGTTTGGGCTGTTTGCAGAGCTTCCAGCAAACAAATCGCATCTCTGTGCGATTTGCCCCTCACATTCCTTGTTTGCAGAAAGCTTTTGACTGTGGGTACAAGGTCCGAGAGTTGCTTGGGCTGGCTCGGTCTTTCAGTCCTGCCTGTGTTATGCTCCCATCTCATTTGAAAGCAGGAGTCTGAGGGGTGGCAGATCATGTCCTCTCTTCTGTCATAATAATGCAAGGGCTGTGGCAAGCGTCAGGTGCATTTGCCTCCCCCTGTACCTTGGAGGGGGGTTATTTTTGGTCCTTGCTCTCTCACTCCCTTGCTATTTACTTACAGATCTTTATACGCGCTTGCATGGTAGTTGACTATGGCAAGCTTCCTGCCGGCGAAACCCTCCTGAGGAATTTGCGTAAAGGCTACAGCAATGTGCAGTTCAACTTCGACTCCAAGAACGCACACTGCACAGTCAAGGGACCATTCACTGAGCTGCAGGCCTTCAGCAGAGACCTGCTGGGCAGCCTGAACTTCAAGAGCCAACCTGTTGGAGAGATCCTCCTGCCAGGTTCCAGCCACGTGGCCAAAGAGACCAGAATGCATGATCACCAGCAAGTGCCCGACTCCACTGAGTCAGCACGAGAGACAGCAAAGCTGCCGAATTGGGACCAGGTGTGTGAAGAGGCAGCTAAAGTCCCATCACCTCGGGGCCCAGTGGATGGAGAAGCTGTGGAACAGCTGGAGGACTTTTCCCTAGTGATGGACTCGGACATTTACTTGTACATGCAGAGGTTCTGTGCTGCCGAGTACCAAGGTGTGCTATGCCAGCATCGTGTGGATGCGGTGGATGTTAGCAGCGATGGCATCGCCATACTGTACCTCCAGCCATCTGCAGGTATGTCTGGGGATATGGACACCTTGCGGCAGGCCCGTCTGGCCCTGCAGCAGCTTTACCAGCAGCTGGAGGTGAGCTTGCGCAAGGAGAAGGTCACCAAGGGAGGACTGGATATGGACAGCCAGGTACTCAGGGCTCTGACACATGAGCTTCAGAAACTGTATCCCCAGTTGCTCTGCCACGAGGATGAGAAGCAGCTTTATCTTATTGGAAACCTTGTTGATGTCTCCCAGGCCAAGCAGTACCTTCAGGATTTCAGCACCAGAAGAGGTGCTGCACACACAGTTGGCATGCTCAGCAGCTCCCTGCCCTCACACTCAGCAACCTCCCACACCACAGAGGCTGCACTGCACAAGCCCAAAGCACCTGTGGACACCTCAACCTCAAGGCTCAGCCCAGGCAGGCTGGAGCTGAAAGGTGAGCTCAAGCTAGCTGCCAACTTCAGCAGTCTGAAAGCTGACAGGTCTCAGGCCAGCCGGGGCCTATTGCTGAATCAGGATGCTCCACCGGTGGGACAGGCGCAGCTTTCTGGAAAGCTCTTATCAGAGACACATGCTCCAGGTCCAAGTGACCCAACAGCACTGACCCAGCAGTACCAGCCTCATGTCTCTACGACAGATGTGGTTTTGGGGTCAGCAGCAGAGTCTCAGCAGAAGGACCCCAAAGAATGGGACCATGTGAAAGGAGGTGCCAGTGTTACAAGACACAAGGCTCTGTCTCCCTTTGAGGGCAAAGAAAACAGCACTTCGCAGCATCCTGGGGACTCTAAAGGCTCAGGTCCCATCAAGCACCACCCCCTCGCTAGCACATCTAGTACCTTTGACACGACAAGGACCTCTTCTGCTTTAGACTCTAAACCCTCTGAACCCAGGCCTCTGCTGCGACGTTCTAACAGCTTCTCCCTGCCAAGGTCAAAGGAAAGCGACAAGCCCCAAGACACTGGCAGGGCAGGCAGCAGAGGCAGTAGGGTGAGTGAAGAAATGAGCCTGGACTCTCTGCAGTGGTCTTACCTGAAAGACGTTTGCCGCTCTGCTATTGATGAACTGTGCGGGGATGGAGGTGTGCAGATCTCAGAGCATCGTACTGGGGACTGCACTGTGCTGACGCTACAGGCGGAGGACAGGAGCAAGCTTTTCCAGGCTAAATGGAAGGTGGAAGCTCTTGTGCAGAAGTGTCCTGACCTTGTGTGTCAGAGTATGAGCTACTCGGAGCTCGCTGTAGATGGTCCAGATGACAGTGCCCTGAGTCAACTGTGCAGTCTCTTGCGAGGAAAATCCCTCCAGGTTGGACTCAGCAAAGACAAGTACAAGCTATATCTTGCCTGCCCCAAGGAGATGCTGCCAGGAGTGACTGAGGCCTTCCACGTGTTTTCTTCCAGGAGGCTCCGTGCCCTGAAGTCTTCATCCTTGTCTCCAGGACCAGAGAGTACAGGGCACTCAAGTGTCATCCAGCCGAGCAGAAGCCAGGACACGGTGCTGGGTGCAGCCCTTCCCAGCAGCCTGGAGTCCCTACAGATGGGCCTGCAGCACCTGAACATTAGCAATAAAGCAGACCACCCAGATGTGCTCAGGGCTTTCTGGCTGCCAGAGGCTGAGGAAAAGAGGTCCCCCAGTCCTCGGAGGTTCCAGCAGGCACCGGGGCAGGAGGAGGCCAATGACCATGTTGATTCTGGGGCTGTGCAAGGAGGAAACAGCCTCCTCAGCCCTAGCATAGTGGATAAGCCAAATCCTGCTGGCGTGAGGGAGTCCCAGGAGCAGCCGAAGACAAAAGTGTCTGTGGGGGAGCCTGACATTGCACGGCTAAAGCAGGTTTTGCCAGACAGATTCCAGTTGGCAAGAGACAAAAGCAGAGGAGGCCACAACGAAGCGATGGGACAGCTGCGGTCACCAGTTCCTGCAGCAGACGGTGCTCCTCATTCCCTGCCTACCTGGCTGTACAGGACTACGGCTGCTGAGCCACCTGAGGCTGCAGCTGAACAGTCGCCTGCAGCAGAGCCCAGGGGCCAGGAACGGGCCCTGCTCCCAGTGGGCAGGAGCAATGTGCAGGAGGAGCCTGACCTCTCGTCACAGCAGACAAGAGGCCCCAGCCTTGGACAGGAAAGCGGCAAGACCCCTCTGGGCCGGTGTGATGCTTGTCAGGGCTCAGGTGTGACCTGCCAGGCCCCCTGCGGTCACGCCTTGTGCAGGACATGTTTTGCAGCGGACAGTACGCAGCCAACTTGCTGCAGCTCCTCCTCAGTTGCCCCGAGCCACAAGATCTCAGGGACATTCAAGATCTCCTCCCTGTCTCAGAGTCTGCCTGGCTACTATCGACACCTAACGCTCCAGGTTGCCTACAACATCCCTGATGGCGTGCAAGGGGTAGGTACCCACTGCAGGGGCTTCCCCATCCCACTGCAGGACATGCAATGGGTTCTGTCAGTGTGGCTGGGGGCGGGGAATGAGGCGGGGGGCGGGGAGGGCAGCTACAGCTCCATGCCCCACATGCAAAGCAGCAGAGGTATTACCCCATGGAAGGCAAAAAGCTCCACACCAGGTTTGGGAGCAGCTTGCTGCTTTTGAAGAGCATGTGACCTCTGATTTTAGTGCAAAGCACCTAGCAGCCCATGGGGGCCACAGTCATCTGTGTATTTTCAAGCTGGACAGAATCTCAGAAGCCAGCTCTGAGGCACAGCACTCAGGTTGTTGTTTAAAATGCTTTCTTCCTGTTCTAAGGTGGGTGACCCCCGGCCAGGACAGCCTTACAAAGGGGGGAATTTCTATGCCTTCCTGCCTGACAACAGGGAAGGGCAGAAGACAGCAGTGCTGTTGAAGAAAGCATTTGTGGCTGGGGGGGATTTGCGGCTGGGCTGACATTCCAGATCAAGTCCTGTAATGGAGAAGAAAGAGTGACATGGGGCCTTATCCCACACAAAACCTCCTGGGATGGAGGCAAAGCCAGGTATGGCCCAGCTCATTCCAAGCTTCCAGGTGGGGTTGGTTTTTTTTTAGCAATTGGAGGAGGAGAACCATGGGCTCCAGCTCAACAGGTCCTGGCATGGGTGGCTCTTCCAGGCTCCCACAATGGCAGAGTTGGTGCCTCCCTTTGCTTCAGCTCACAGGGCAGCTGTGGTGTGGCAGACCAGCCCTGGCACCCTCCAGCTGGAGCTAAAGCCCTTGCCCATCCCACAGCTGTAAGTTCCCCATGGACAAGAATTCTGGGCCCTGTTCACTTACAGCTTTCCTGGCTTTTCCCGTGACAGCGCTCTGCAGCCAGCTCTGGGTGCAAGCTGTGCCTGCGGGCAGCAGCAGCTCCCAGGGAGCAGGACTTCCACCCTCAGCCCCTGTTGAAGGGATGAGGCAAAAATAAGCTGCTGCTCCCCTCAGGAGTTTTAGCACCATCAGCAGGATTTACACCACTTCCCTCTCTGCCCTGCAGGAACGGCTATCCAGACACCCAGTATCTCTCTGAGGTTTGCGTAGTACTGAAGAGACTGGGCATCGCATGAGACTCCCTGCCTGAGCAGCCACAGCCCGTGCCTTCGCTTCACCTTCCTTTCCAGCTGACAAAGCTGCAGCTTAACACAGACAGCTCAGGAAAAAGCAGGTGTTTGTCCAAGGAGCTCCTGTGTCCCCAGAGGTAGCCAGAAATCTGCACGTTAGTGACAGCAGCACCTCCATCCTCGCCCCCCACAGCAAGCCTCAGCATGGATCGGAGCTTCCCTGAAACTCCAGCTCCTCCTGGACGGGTGTCCTCACCAGCCAGTTACACAGCTTGTTTCAACACCAGCTCCATGCCAGGCTGAGCCCTGGCATGGCTTTCAGCAGCATAACCCAAACCTGGGCAGGAGCCTGCGTGTAGTCCAGCCCCCATCTTCTGGAAGTCTCTTCCACCTTCAGCCACTACAGGCAGGTTCCAGCTCAGCCACCGCCAGAGCCTGTGCCAGAGCTGAGCTGTCATTAATTTCAGCTGTTCACTCAGACATTTCAGTCCTCAAGCAGACAGCCCCGAGCTACAGCCCCTCCCCAGCACCTGCTCTGGAGCCAGCAGGCAACCTGATGCTCTCTTGGGGAGAGCATTAACAGCTTGCGGTGCCCAGGACAGCTGCCTCCCATGAGACTATACAGCCATGGGCAGTATAATAAACAAGATTTATTCCCGCATTTTTAGTAGTGGTTGTTCACACCTTGTCTTACCATCGCCCCAGGCACCCATTTCAATCTCAACTGGCTACAGAGACACCCAGACACAGAGTAAAGTGCAGAGGCCAGCTAAGGGCTTTGTGAACAAAAATCACCATAGCTGCCCTCCAGAACAGGGCGTTAGATCAATGCAACACTCGAGGCAACAATTAACAGTTGTCCTTGAGAGCAGAGTCATCTTCTCACCCTGGGACAGTTAGAATTTATAAACTGAATGTGTCCACCCACTGACTGCCTGGAGAAGCAGTAAGTGTCCCAAAGGCTGAGCTGGGGGCAGAGGGTTCGTTCCGACAGAAGATTAAGCAGCATACCACTGAGGCTTTTGTTATGCTTTTAATTAACATTTGAAACACATAAGGCATATGGTAACATTAGACAGAGGAGCATTACACATTATAGTCATGTAAACAGCATTGGCACACTGGCTTTCTGTCCAACTTGGTTACACACATAAAGCAGAATATATTTTTTAAACAAAGATTTTCCATGTGTCTGTAGGATGAGTATCACTCGTATCACGTATCTGCAAATCAACACAACTTAGTACAGACCAGACCGTATGTTATAAGAGGCTCAGAGTCTAATGCATTTCACATCACACTCATGCACTACTTGCCAGTCACACTTTGCCATCACCAGGGCTTAGCACACTAGAGGCTTCGTTAGGCAACAAGAGTGGTTTTTTTACACCTATGATAGCAGCTGTAAGTGGGCCAGGATTCTGCACCAATTAAAGCCTGAGGCCCGCAATGCTTCTTACTTCTCCCTGGTCAATGAATTCTACTTTAATACAGGTGTCCAAAATGAAATGTACAGCTGAACTCCTTCCCCCATCTCAAGGTACTTGGTAGGGGTCATGCTCCTCTGCGCAAGCCGAGGCTGCTTCTGCTCCCTTCCCCTTCTGCAGTTAGCATGCAACGACAAACCAAAGAGTCAAAAACACGACAAAAGCTGCCTGGTGATAGCAAAACTTTGTCCAAGACCAGCAGTACCAGTCTGGGAAGGCGACTGCAGTAATGACACAGGAGTGGTGCTCGCACAGGCACCCCTGTGCTGAGCAGCCCCCCCACGGCAGTGGGGGGGGCTCTTACAGCCTCTCCTCTGCTTATGAACTCCTTATGCTTTCCACTGGGACTCCTCACGGCACAACCTTTGGGTCAGACAATCAGTAAAATAATAAACATTAAATTGCACTTCTGATAGCTGGAACGGCACATGCAATTATGCACAGGAATCTCCCATTTTCTCAATAGCACGACTTTGCCCTAAACAGTTAAGCAACATTAAGTGGAATGATTTTTATCGTAGGGTTTTTGTTTTTTGCTTTGGTCCTTAGTATACAAACCTGCTGGTTAACTTTATTGAGTTAAGACACTTGAAGTTGTTTTACATAAGTTCTATACTTATTGGCCCATAAAATGTTTGTCCATTAAAAAAAACCCATAAAAAACAAAACCAAAAAACAACCAACCACAACCACCTAGAGCAGAGCATTGGTCAGTGAGTCAGTGAGGAGCAAGGTTACATTTAATCTTGGTCTTTCTGTAGAAAACATTGTTGCTACCAAAGGACATAAAACAGTCAGTGCTAAACTCTTAACAGATAGTAACTGCTTAGCACTCTTGCCCTGATAAGGGCTTCAGGAATTTGTAGGTAGAGGATACATGAGCAGCTACCCGCAGAGCATCGGGAGCCGGGATTGTTTCTGGAGAGCCAAGGCTGGGGCAGCAGGTAAAGCCTCACTCGAGGACCGGCCAGAGCCAAACAGCTGCCCTGGGGGAGACAAGAGCTCTACAATAGCTCTGCTGGACTGGGGAACACAGAACCACCAGGACGGCCCTGGAAAGGCTGTAATACATGGAAAGGGAGTGTCTTATTCACGGTAAGTCAGACTACATCACCAGTGTTCACAAAACAGAGCTAGCAAGAGTCATAACAGGTTTTTGGCAATACTTTGAAAGGCCAGAATGGAAAAGGCTCCAGTGACTTCCTAGTCCTTACAGGCATGTAGAAGAAGGCACTGAGATACTGTTTTCTGTGGTGTACCGCAAGGCAGCATGTCAGGTGTCCTACGGGAAGCTGCAAGACTCCCGCTTTCCTCCTTCACGCTGCACCGGGAGGGACAGACTGCGAGAGCCTTGCTGCGCTGCCTGATCCAAGGCCATCCAAGTAAGGCACTGAGCATGCGCTTAGCCGAGAGCAAAGCAAGGAGAGGATGTTACTGTGAAACACAATTTGATAGCTTTCCCCTTTACAAGTGTGCAGAACCTGAAGATGTGCAGGGTTGTGTGCCGTTTGAGCACGCTGCTCTTTCATCAAGGTGAAGTCCAGTTTCTCGGAGGAACAGGTCCAGACTTCCCATTTCAGCAATTTAGACAGTCCTTCTGTTGTCAGACCTGGTAAAGTAGCATTAGACACTGTTGGATTTAATCTAAATTAGCATGACAGGGCAGGCTGAAAAAAGAAGCAGCAAGATTTTGGATTCAGAAAGGTTAAAAGTTGTGTTTGCGAGTTTCATCAGACCATGTTTATGAAGTTCTCGTATCAAGTGCGAGAGATGGACTGACAAGGATCTGTAACAGGGCTCCAGCCCCTCCTCTGAGGTCATAGGGAATGGGGTTGTTTTAATACTTAAAGTTAGCCAGGGCAAGTCCCCCAGAGGCTGTGCCTATGCATTTCTAAAAGGCGGCAGAACTAGGGACTGAGCCCAAGCACCTGAAATACAAGCTGCACTGACAGATAGGAGCCCCGCTGAAGGGTAGAGCTGGCAGAGGAAGAAGCCACACTCCCCACCTGCACAGGAACCCCCAGGCCTGCACAGAGCTTGGCTGCTCTCAAGCGGCGGAGGGGCTTCGCATATGGGGCCCTTCGTCCAGCAGGCGCCTTCCCTCCTTGGGGTTTGGTTAAGCAGGACTCCTAGTAGCAAGGTTTTGCTCCTGGAGCCTGAGCTCTTCCATGACGGGCAGCTCTTCTTGGTGCCCTCAGGTTTACCTTTTCAAATCCAAAATGAAGCCTAAAAGCCTGCAGCACCTACAGTCCATGACAAAGCCTCAAAGCAAGCACAAACAGCACCACAGTCACTCAGGGCTGAAAACAGGGTCCAGCAGGAAGGGGGGGCACCACCCAGGACATTAAGTGCTCAGAGAACTAGGCTTGGGTCTCTGCACAGCTATGTTTCTAAATGCACGGAAGAAAGAAAAGAGGAAGAGAATCTGAGTTCTGGTCTGGGAGGAGCACCCCAGGCAGTTCTTAAGCCCTCGGTGCTGGAAGAGACCCCAAGGGTCCCAAGACTTGCAGTTTCAGGGGAAGAAGAGTCAAGCCTTACTGCAGCACTGAACCACAAGGTAAGAGTTGGCTTGAGTGGAAATCTAACAAGCTAGCTAGAAGAGAATGGAAAGCACAATTTAAGCTGCTCAAGATGCCCAGGCCAAGAGGCTTGACACAGAGCTGGGCAGTTTATCATCTACACGGGTAACCTGGCGACAGCTTTACTGAGTGGCGTGCCACAGAAAGAGCCAGCCCAGGCTCCTGGGAAGCAGGCTTACAGGACTGGTTCTTGCAAGTTACTTCCCAAACTGCAGCACCTCCCCAGCGCACAGGGCACAGCACAAAGCAAGCACTAACGGGCGTATTTTGTTCCCATCTTGCTGAAGTCCAATTCAACACTGCAGCCCTTGGAAATACAAACACGAGGGTGAAGTTTAGCCTTAACAATACCAGCTTGGAGCCCAACATTAATAAAACACAGAGCCAACATCAATTGTTCCAGTCATTTGAGACACAGTTGAGTCCTTATGGTCTCTAGAAATCAGACACAGTTTAGATCTCCCTATACAGTTTGGAATCAGAAAATGGACAAGATCAAGTTACCTAATTGAAACTTTTCTTCTGTATTCAGACACAGACCAGACCAGCCTGTCAGGTTATTTGCCAACTGCGCAGAGAAGTGACTGCAAATTAAGTGCAATATGCCATAGACTCCAAAATGCCAGGATGGTTATTTACAAGGCAAAGACAACATGACCTGTTACTATCTGACTGGTGTTAGAGGCCTATGAAAGCAGAGGGGAAAGAGCGTGGTTAGTGTAAACAGAAGAGTAGCCCGTGCTAGAATTAAAACTAGGCCAGCCGTGCTTTTCCTCTGGCTGTTGAGGAAACATCCTAAGTTTGGCCCATTCTTCTGCTGAACAAGCTTCTCGAAGGTGACAGTGCAAATGCTTCAGCAGGGCTCAGTTTCTGTGGAGATACTTGGCCGTTGCTACAGTGTGTTACATCTTGACTTTACAATGCCAGGCTATCCAGCTGTTAATCACCAACTGCCTGGAAGCTTCAGCTGCACTGCCAGAGAAAAATAAGGTTAGTTTGGAAATTCAGTAGAGAAACAAGTGATTAGAAAAATGTACAAAATAAACAGGCTTCAAAACAGAGAGCTAGGGCAAGATGCATGTCTGGCAAAGGGTCAGTCACAACGAGAGCATGCAAACCTCTTCTGAACTTTAACCACGATGTTCTTGTACTGGTGAAGATGGAAGCTACTGATCTGTCCATTTCCAGGTCCCAAAGATCAGGGAGTTAAACCATGAATTCACAATCTGCACGAATCTCTTCTCCCTAGTTCTCTTCTTTTTTGGATTCTTCCTTGGGTGCTTCAGGAACCAGGATGACCTTTCCAACATTCTTCTTCTCTTGCATCTGCCTCATGGCATCTGCCACCTGGAAGCAACAGGAATCTCGTGAGACCCACACCCACCACGCAGTGCAGTCATGCCCCTCCTGGGCCCCTTGGTCCACCCAGACTAGTCTGAGGGCCACCCACCAGGAGGCAGCTTTCCTGGCAGTCCAAGCAAGTACCAAGCATTGGGGTGCCTCTGCACAGATGCATTTCGGACAGAGTTGGGCAGCTACCCCAGCCTGCCCATAGGCAACTGTCCTCAAGAACTCACAGACCAACTGTAACATACATGAGGATGCTCTGGTACGCAAACTGTGGAAGAATGAAGTGTATGTCATCACAGCTTCTTTCCCAAACAGAGCGGAGCACTGCAGAAACCCAGCTAACAGCCAGAAGGACAATGCTTCTACCATCTACACAACCACAGAACAATACATGCACAGATTTTCATTATTATTTTTAAGCAAAACAGCACCTGGGCCAGGCCTGGAATCAGCAGAGTTTTCCTTAAGCATTTGCATCAGACTATTTCTCAGGTACTAACACCAACTGATCATTACCAAGTCCTTTGCTCCCCTGCAATAAGTCCTACCCCAGCAAAGGATTTCCAAGGGAAGAACCTGACTCTGCCTGGACACATCGATGCAACAACACTGAGCATAGCAGAGCTGCTGAAAAACATGCCACTCTTCTTCCAACATCCTCATTCTGCTTCACTGCCTGGGCTCTTTTTCACTTGTGGAAGGGCAGCAGCAAGCTTCCCAGCTGTCTGCTTAATTACAGGGGGCAGACTCAGGGCAGTCTCCAGTCTGATGCATAACCCAGCCCCTCCATGGGCTGCTGCTGCCCACAGAGCCTAGCTGAGCACCTGCCCTATTCCACAGGGATGCTGTCTGGCATTGCCCAGCTCTGTGCACTGGAGCAGAAGAGCCCAGCCACTTTACTCGCCCTTAGTATCTTAAAAGGAAAAAGGCACTGAATGTCTGAGAACAGATGGTTATTAAACACTTGCAACAGTTCAGCCCCCATGAAGAAGGTGCTCATGCTGATCCAGAGCTCACTGTGCAGAAAACAATCACCCAGTAATTTCTGGGTGCTGCCAGCCTGTATGTTAGCTCAGACTCACCTGATCAAAGGGCCATACAGAGTCTATTTTGGGCTTGATTTTGCCTTGACTGTACAGGTTAACCAGCTTGGCTACAACACCTCCGACAAGCTCAAATTCTTCATCCATATATCCAAGGTGGTAGCCACACACAGCCTTGTTATGGTGTAGGAGCTGCAAGGCATTGATGCTGAACTGGTTCCACCAGGTTTTAGCCATAGCCATGAGGTTCTTCTTCTGCCCAGTGAGCAAGTTTGCTACCCCTAAAAAGAAGGCAAGCCACAGATGAGCTGGAATCAACACAACATGAGAGACAGTGGGCATCCCATATAACAGCTCAGATAATACGCAGGGGTAACAGCCGCTCACACAGCAATGGAGGACAGAGGTGAGAACTGGATCACATCAGGACCTGCCCAGTCGACCTTCAATGGGAACAGGTACCTGCCTTGGCCTCAAGATATGCATAATTTGGATTATCGGCACCCACATATTGCAGAAATATAGAACAACTCCTCTCTTAGGAGGGCAGCAGCAGCAGAGCTAGACTGGAGTGCTGGCAGAGGCAAGAGAGGGTTACAAGTCACATCCAGCCAGGCTGGCAGGACAGCACTCCCCTTCTACAGCCAGGCTTCTTCAGGGGAGCCACACGCTGCAACGGCTGGGACAACAGAAGCAGCACACTGGTGCAAGTGTCTGGAATCCCACTGGGGGTTGTGTGAGGGCTTTGTCTATGGGACAAAAATCACAGTGTTTCAGGGCTGGGGAATGGAGAGAGAAGTATTCAGTAGCCTCAAACCTCATCACCCACACATCCTCTAGAAGAAAAGCAAGGCTCTATTAGTGCTGTGCATTAAGTCAGCCTGGACAAAGCAGCTGTGCCAGCATTCCTCCGTGAGGACATTCCAGCTTCCCCTGCAGGCACCGGCTCGTACTCGAAGAGAGATCTCGCCATTGGAGGGAAGAGCCTTGGAGCCTGTGACCAGAGCTCTCAGGACAAGGCAGAAATCTCATTCCCCTCAGTGCCTCACCCAGGTGAAGCATCTTAAAGACCTTAATGAAATAACAGAACTACAACACACACAGCAGTCAGCAACAGTGATGCTCCCTCACGGCTGCGTGTCCAGGCACAGAGCAGTGCAGAACATTCCCGTGCAGATCCGCACCCACCCTGCCATCACACAGTCCCTCCTATGCAGGAGCTGGGGTTTGGGGGCACGCTGCTCACACTTACCATATGTGATGAGTTTGCCCATCGGCTTCAACAGGTTAAATGCTTTGGACGTATCGGATCCTCCCAGGGGGTCCAGAACAATGTCAACACCTAGAAGGAATTGACAGTAACTAGAAGTTTCTTTGCACTTGAAAGAAATGCAGGACAGTTGTAGAAGTCTTCCACCACATGGTACCTTTGGGAGAGATTTTCCGGACCTCCTCTGCGTAATCCATCGTTCTGTAGTCAATGGGGTGAGCGACTCCGCTCTCCTTGAGTGAATCATGCTTGGAAGCAGATGCTGTGCCAAAAATGGTGACATTTTCTACAGTCTTGCACAGCTGGATGGCAGCAGTTCCCACACCACCTGAAAAACAGCAGCGAGAAAGACTTAGAAGCAAACAGCCCCAGCAGTCAGAAAAGCCTCTGGATAGGTAAATTACCCCTGCTTGTACCAATCGCACAGTGCCAGGAGGGTATGGAATGAAGGCTTTGCCTGGGGCAGGCTGACGCCCGTGACACACACTGGGGGAGACCGACTATGGCTGCTGGGAAATGGATTCAGCATTTGCCAGCGCCTGGGTCAGTGTGAAGCCTGCATCTCTGGCAGGTGACGTTTTGTCAGTGCAGCCCCATTCTGATCGCTTCCTCACCCGTGCCACCCATTCAGAAGCTGCATATTGAGGCCAAGAGTCTCAGCACGGGCTGGCGAGAACTATTTACCTGCAGCCATGTGGATGAGGACACTCTGGTTGGGTCTCAGGTTTCCAAAGTCAAACAGGATCATGTAGGCAGTGATGTAGTTGACAAGAAGAGCAGCCGCTTCCTCGAAGCTCATCCCCTCAGGCATCAGGAAAGTCTGACTGGCTGGCACGTTCACGACTTCTTGCCAGAGCCCTGACCTAGCCAGGACCATTACCTTATCGCCAACCTAAAATCAGAGGACAAGGCAGTCTGAAACAAGCCCCAGGCTAGCAGAAGTCATCACACCCTTCCCCTCCGTATGCCAGAGCCAGGTACACGTGCGCCATTCTCTGTGCAGAGGTCTGCAGGGACTGCAGCAACCCTGGGCTTGGGCGGGAGCCCGCAGCCTGTGCTCCACTCATCGGGCAAATGGCACCACAGCACAGCGCCTCTCACCACAGACCTGGGCACATGCCAGGAGCCTCAGAGGGACCGCAGGCGCCCCAGGCTCTGGCTTGCACCCAGCGTGCTGCCTGACTGCCAGCTGCCCAAACCAACAGACCCCCAGCGAGGTAAGAGGGATGGGGGGTCATGTCCTGCCCTCCCTGTCCAAGCTGGGAGCACGAGTCTGAACACCATGAAATATTACTGCTGCCCCTTGCAAGGATCATTCTGCCAACAGGCAGGAGGCTTGGGGCAACGCTTAACAGGATCAACCCTGGAAAAAGCACGTCCAACCTTAGGAAAACCTCCCGGGTCTAAGCCTCAGACCTGACGTCTGAGGCATCCCCCAAAATCTGCTCTTACCCCACTGGGCAAGAAACAGCTGCTCGCTGTGCAACAGGAAGGAGACGGCAAAACTCCAAGCAGTCATATCAGCAAGCAGACAAGAGGCAGAGCCAAGGCAGTGAGCAGAAAGGCTCCTCGGTGTGTGGATTTGGCGTCTACACTTGAGTAAACCAAGATGTTTTTCTGGAGGGGAGGGAATCATCTTTGACACACTGGGTTTTTTTGAGACACTTTGTTTTGCTAGTTGTTTTGCTTTAAGAATCATCTTAAAGCCCCGTAATTGCAACAGCCCTAAGACCCAAAGGTCTGGGACATGCAGAGCCAACTCCTCTGTCCCCCAAGTTGCTAGAAATGCAGCAGCCACAGGCTCGTGGGCCACAAACCCAGCACCAAGAGCAACTAACCTGGTCGTGCCCACACCTCACCACCCTCAGATGGTTCTGGACAACTCTGCAGCAGCTGGAGCTGTTTCCTTCCACGCTCGTGTGGTTAAAGAGGTCGGTCACAAACGTGTTGAGAAACAGCACAGTCACGCTTTAGCCCAACGCCCTACTAGCACTCACCACTAACACGAAAATTTTGTACATGCAAGTACACCTGGCAGTCCCCAAGGAACACAACCACTTTTCCCCACGACTCCAGACCCCAAAGACCCCGTCCCTTAGGGTGGGCAGGCAGCAACGCTCTTGCCGTCCCGGGGGCTGGGTCAGCATTTCGCAGGGCAAGGGCAGCCAGGACCGCAGGAGGCTTGGGCTGGGCGGGCAGGGCCGCGCCGGGGACGTCCTGCCCACGCAGCCCAGCGCGGCCCCTTTGTCAAGGGGCTTTGTCTGCTGCCCGGCCGCC